CTGACGCAGGGCCACTTGAGTCTGGGAGTTAGAGACAAGCCTGGGAAAGAGTAAGTTTCCTTTTCACAAACAAACAAAAAAGTAACCTAAAGTAAGAGACAATGATGTGTGCTTGAAAAGAAAAGAAGAGAACAAAGCAGAGCAAGACACTGAGGAGAGTGACGTGGGTACTGTTTTAGTTAGGGAAGGCTTGACTCCATGAGAAGGTGTTCACACATAGAATTGGGGTAGAGTCTAGGGTGGCCAAGCCCAGTGAGTCACAGCACCCGTCTTCCTCCTGGTCTGAAAGCAAGCACACTACTCAAGCCAATGAGAGTTTTCTTTCAGGGTTAGTTATTCAGATGGAGCTAGGGGATGGAAGAATGTGCACAGAGAGGGTCCCTTCCTCAAAACTAAAGGTAGTAGTACACCTGGTCAGACTCAAAAGGACAAACATTTTATGATCTAACTTACGTGAGCTCCCTTAGTAGTTCACAGGGAAAGAGAGTTAAATCGCAGTTAGCAGGGTGACTGGGGAGCATGGGAAGTTAGTGTCTAATGGGTACAGAGTTCTGGTTTGAGTGTTCAAGTTCTGCAAGCAGCAGATGGTGACGGCTGTGGGAATGCACTAATGCCAATGAATGACGCATTTAAAAATTATTCAAATGGTAAGTAATAAAACAAAATGTATATCTTACTACTAAACAACAACAACAACCAAAAAAAAAAAATCAAAAACAAGTCAAGGTTGTGAACCCAAAACCACCCAGTGGCAGTTTGCTTTGGGGAGAAAAACTGTACAACAGGAGAGGATGAAGCACTCATAATTACACAGCAGTGGTGAGAGACGAAAGCCTCTTGTTCTTCCAGCTGTGTTCTAGACTTCTTAATTCAGAGAGCCAATAACAACAAACACTCCCTGGGTAAATGTAATCTTTTTGACACTGGCAAACGAAGGTCCTGACTAACATGAAATGCAATACATCTTATGGCCCAAGCCTTGCTCATCTCTCCTCATTCTGACTGCTAATTCCCATTTGGAATATCTACCAAGGGGCTGGGGTTGTGGCTCAGTGGTAGAGTGCTCACCTAGCGTGGGTGAGGCACTGGGTTTGATCCTCAGCACCACATATAAATAAATAAATAAAAATAAAGGCATTGTGTCCATGTACAACCATAAATATATTAAAAGAAAAGAATACCTACCAAGCAAATGTCTGGGAATATGCACACACACAAGTATCACTTATTGCATAGGCTATATTGTAAATGATGCCTTTACAGGGCATAAGATATACGAGATTATCTGGCCACAGACTATTCTGGTTGAGTTTGATTTTAGTACTTTTTTCTTTGAATAGTTCCTCAGCCATGAAATTATCAATTATCCTTATTATTGTCAGTGTGCCTGAACCCTTTACCTTTTTTATTGCTTATCTGTTGAGGGCTAAAAATCTAAAAGGCAAGTTCCTTAATTTGTATCTCAAATTAGGAAATAGTCTTGGAGTGATGGTTTGGTAATTGTTTCACTACATCTGTAGTAAGCTTCGTCACAGACTGTATTTTATTCTCATGTTAGTTTTATCTTGGACTCAGACTATACTCATGATCAGTGTTTTTGTTTTGTTTTGGTACTGGGGATTGCGATTGAACCTAGGGGCGCTTAACCACTGAGCCACACCCCCAGCCCTTTTTGGTTTTTTGAGACAGGGTCTCACTAAGTTGCTTAATGCCTTGTTAAGTTGCTGAGGCTGGCTTTGAACTTGTAATCTTTCTGGTGATCAGTGGTTTCTAATTAAAAAAAAAATTCATGCCATGAGTGACAAGTAAATGAAGCAGATCTGAGTGGCACTGCTCTTGCCCAGAAGGCAGCAACCCAAGCTCCTGCACCCGTGGAGTTCCTACCTTTCCACAGGTTGCCCACAGCATCATCTGAAGGGGCCCCCACAATGCAATTTGAAAACCACTTTTTAGGCCTGTGGATACTGAGAAATAAATCTCTGGATAAAATTTCACTCTCTCATGGCTCTCTGTTTCTGGACACTTAATCTAATTGTAGAATATGGAACTAGATTATTAATAACAAGGAATTTTTCTGACTAGTTCACTTGCTAGTTTTCTTAATGGTTCTCTGAATAAAGAATAAAAAATAAGAGTATATAGTCAAAAAAGGCACTAAAATAATACAGCAAAATACAAATACTTAATTCTCTGAAAATCTTTCTCCCTGGGTAAGCAGTAATCAAGCATCAGAACTTCATCTGAATGTACAATCATATAAGTATCAACAAATGAAAAACTGGGTATTTTCAGCTATTCTTTATGCTATTATATCTTTAGTACAGAAAAGAAGTCTTTATGGACTACAACAGTACGAGATAACTAAGTAGATGATATGCAAATTGATAAATGTATGAAATTTACCTACCGAGTAAATGTCTGGGAAAACACACATTCACAGGACAAGCTGAAAGGAAAACAATCAAAAGCAACACCCCTGATTTTTTCTTCTAAGGCAACTGAGCAGACTCACATCTACACCGATGTCCTCAAGTCTGCTTTGGGAACTGCAGCTAAAATGACTGCATCAACTTTAACATCACACGGAAATTGCTAGACAGAAAGGAATTAGGGTAAGATGGACACAGTATGAATGAGCAGTTGAACTTGCAGAATGGACAGTGTCCACAAGATGTTCTTAGGTTCTTCCAATTATTCAGACGTATGTCCACATAGGGCACAGTTAGCAGGAAGTTATTAAAAGGATTTCAGATAGAAACCATTCAGAATTTGCCACCAGGGCAGTTGCCAGACTGAGGTCCTTGCAGTCATTCATGTGACAGCTCACCCAGCCCCCTAGGAGATAAAACTTAGGTATGAAGAGAAGAATTCCTATCAGCAGGTATGGGGTCTGTCCTGATTTAGGAGCCCTGCTGTGATAGGCACCATTACATGGTTTACCAGCAATTCTTAGGAATACAGAAGGGATATGCCAATTAGAAGAAACTCAGGACAGTCCAAAGTGCAGTGTCAGGTATGTATCGTTCCTTTGCAATTCCCTCCATTCTGATTAATTTACCAATCAGGACTCACTTTTATTATAAATAATGTTACTTAGTTATCTAATTGATACCCTTACCTTCAACAGGTTATCAGGGAAGTTAGACATTTTTACCTAAGATCAGATTTCCTCCAGTAGGAAAAAGTCAATGTCATAATATGGTATTAATCTTATATTGCCAGAATTTCCATCTAGAAGTTTAACTGAAACACATATGCAATATCAATGGACTTTGCTAACTCTTACTAAATCTGTCCTACTCTGGCTACAAGAATTTCTCCCATGGTGCATGTTCTTTATTCTTTTTTCCCCTTTTGCCTATGTATACCTAAGTGAATCGGCAACAATATTATCTTTTACTACATCTGATTATTTAATCAGGGGGATCTTTTATAGTAATACTGAAGCAATACTGTTAATGCTAAAGTATATCTGGAAGAACAGATGCATGAAGATACTTAAGAAGATGGGGGTCTCACAATGCCACTTCTGGGATTTCCCCCCATCCCTAAATGGAGCAGCACTTGGTTCTACAATTTACCCAAATGCTCAAGCCAGAAATTAGAGCTCCACCCTTAAATCCTCTTTATCTAATTTATAAGCAACTCCTATTGGTTCTTAAAAATATATATCTAATTATCTACTTCTTTTCTTCATTGTTACCACCTATTATGGGTTGAATTGTGTGCCCTCAAAAGACATGCTGAGGGGCTGGGATTGTGGCGCAGAGGTAGCACGCTCGCGTAGCATGCGTGGGGCCCTGGGTTCGATCCTCAGCACCACATAAAAATAAATAAATGAATAAAGGTAAAAAAAAAAGACATGCTGAAATCCTATCTCCCAGTACCTCAGAACGTGATTTTATATGGAAACTGAAGAGAGGTATCTACATGCCAAAGACTGCCAAGAATTGCCTGCAAACACCAGAAGTTAGAAAAGGCAAGGAAGGATTCTGCCTACAGGTTTGAGAAGGAAAATGGTTCTGCCAATGATGAATTTTTATTGTTTTAAACTACCTAGCTTGAGACCCTAAGCAATAGTGAGACCCCCGTCTCAAAATTAAAAATAAAATAAAAAGGACTGGGGATATAGCTCAGAGGTAGAGTGCCCCAGGGTTCCATCCCCAGTACAAAAGACAAAAACAAACAAACAAATACTGAGGACCTCAGGGAGCTTTTGTTTAAATCTATCAATATATACCATATTAGAAATTAAAGCTGAGAATCAAAAAAACCACTACATAAAACATTTCATATTAATAACGAGAAAAAAAGAAGACAATGAGGAAGAATGGCAGTTTCACACTTTTTGCAATCACTGTTTAAACAGAAAATAATTACGTATTTATATCTATTTCTGCAGTCAATCTGCTGTGATAACATGTGATGTAACCTCCAAAAAAACACCATGGCATGCTCATAGGGGAATGAGGTGAAAAAGGCAAAGAATTTCTTAGAATTACTATGAAGTAGCTTTGACCTTAGGGACCCATCTGCACTCAAAAGTATTATTTCAATAGTCAATAAATAAATGAATCATGGATTTCTAAAAATATTTATCTGCAAGGGTATCCACTGTTATCCACTGAAACATGGCACATTGGAAGCAGGAAAGGAGGATGGGGAACACTAGGAGGTAGGAGGATGGGCATCAGCTTAACACAAGGGCGTCAGGGCAGGCCCTCCTGAGAGGTGTGAGGGAAGCTGATGAGAATCCATGGGGAAGCAACCAGGGGACAAGAAGAGCAAGAGCAAAGGTCCTGAAACGTGCATGGCTTGGCACATCTGAGGAACGGAAGGAGGCAGTATGGCCGGAGCAATGAGAAGAAGTTAGATTAGTGTGAGAAGATAAAGTGAGAGAGGCAAAGGAGGACCAGATGGCCCGGTGCCTTGGAGGGACCAGGTGGTAAAGACCGTAAGCCACTCTAAGGATTTTGGCTTTCGTTTTTAATTCAGTGGGAGGTTACTGGCGGGTTTCCAAGCAGAGTAGTTTGACTTCGCTTATGGGTTAGGAGGATCACGCTGGCTGCTGAGTTGGAAATAGACTAAAGGTAAGCAGAAAGACCAGGCAGGAAGCTATTTCAACACTCCTTATTTCAGGAACAATCACCAGAATGTGAGCAGAGGGCAAGGTGAGAAGTGGTCAGATTCTGGACATATTAAGAAGGCAGAAGGAATACAATTTGATAACAGACTGGATGTAAATTTAAGAAAAAGAGGAAAGTTAATGATTCTACCAAGAATCTGGATGAAGCAACAAAGCCATAATTGCCATTAGCAAGATGGAGAAGACTTAGGAGGAAGCAGGTTTTGTGGTCACAGATCAGGAGTCTGATTTGGGACATGTTAAGTTTGGAATGATCAAACATCCTTGGAGAGATATTAAAGGGCAATTAGCTATGTCTGAATTTCAGAAAAGAGGTATAGACTAGAGATGCCAATTTGAGAGTTATGAGCATATATTTAAAGATCAGATAGTAGTTGAGATCATCAAAGCACTGGGCTAAAGAAGAGATCCAAGGATTGGGATCTTGTGTATTCCAGGAGGTCAGCAAAAGGAGCAAGTAAAAGGGTCTGAGAAAGAATGACTGAAGAAGAACTGGTAAAAGGGACAAAAGCCAGTAAGTTAACAGAAAACCCAGCAGAGTGTAAAGTCTGGAACATAAGAATATAAGGTGTCAATAGGGGTAATCAGCTGTGTCAAATCCTATCAGCAGTCGGGTATGGCAAGCTAAGTGGCTGCCGATTTAGCAAAGAGAAGGTCCTTGGATTTCCTATGAAGAATAGGAGGAATAATAAGTGACCACCTGATTCAAGTAGGTTCAAAGTGCTATGGTTTAGATCTGAAATGGCCCCCAAAGGCCATGTGTTGAAGGCTGGGTTGCCAGCCTGTGGCACTGTTGGAGGTGATGAAAACCTCAGGAGGTGGGGCCTAGAGGAAGGAAGTGAGGTCACTGCAGATGTTCCCTTGAGGGGGATTTGGGGACTTTGGTGCTTGCTTTTTTCTTTTTTCTTGACAGTCATGAAGTGAGCAGTTCTGCTCCACCATCCACTCCTGGCCATGATGTTCTGCTTTGCCACAGGCCCGGAACAATGGAGCCAAATGATCATGGATTAAAACCTTGGAAGCCACAAGCCAAAATATATCTCTTCTTTTAAGCTAATTATCTCAGGTATTTTGTCATAGCGGTGGAGAGCTGACTAATCCAGAGGGTAATGGGAAAGGAGGAACAACTCTTTTATGGAATTTTGTTTTAAGGAGAAATAAGGACAGTAGTAGGATGGTTAAGTGGGATGGAGAGACAGTAGCATATTTGTATCCTATTGAACCTACTCAGAAGAGAAGGCAAAGTCATTAAAAAAAAAAAAGATCATATATGGAATAAGATCCTTGAGAATGAAGGGACTTACTACATGAGCACAGGGGCTGGCCTTAGCTAGGAGCACAGGTAACCACACATGCTAATGGAGGGAAGGTGGTCTGCCAATGAACAGATGCAGATAGGTAAGTAGATAAGGTGGTGGAACTTGTGCAAGTTCTTTACTAATGAAAAGAAAGAATGAGAATGATAGGGATTATCTTGGAGGTAAGAGTACGGACAATGTAACTTTTTTTTCTTTATAAGGAGAAATAATAGTTATTTCTTTCTTTTGAAATTTGTAGAAATTTATGAAATTAGTATTACTTTGATAGTAAAAAGTTATTATCAATTTGTATTGTCTGAAGTTGAATACCATCTATATGTGGACAACATTTAACTGTTACCCAGGCATTCCCAATTAAAAAATAACCAACATCAACTAAAATCACAGTTACTTATAATGACTTTTATAATTACAAGCAAGACAGGCTCACCTACCTCCTCCCAACCCATTTCTTGTTTGCCATGTTCCTTAGATCACCATGCCTAATTTGAGGCTTTTGTGTTCAAATGTTGTGGACTGAAGTGTTCTAGTGTTTCATGTGAAATATTGAGATTTCTGAAACTTTACACTTAAGGCATGTTCACCTCGAAATCAATTAGAGCAGGGGCATGCATTTACGAAGCATGACGCCAATCACAGAATTGATTGGCAGGTGGGGAACAGAAAGACAGGAGGAGAATCAGGCCATCCTCTAATTGTATTTTCTGTCTTTCAAGAGTACTAGAGAAAAGGAACAGTCTTTAAAAAGACACCAAGAATTTTCTTCAACTCCAAATTGTTTATATGTCTAGGCACCTTGATTGTCTAAAGAATAGGTGTTTGGGTGAAACAAAATAAAGACAATTATTTTAAATTACTCTTCAACTCAACTGCAGTCTTCAGGGACCCAAATGTAATTATTCTTCTTTTGTATGCCTAATGAATAATAAGCACTTCAGACATGTTCAATCAATGAACTTGTTTATTTGGAATGATTATGACTCAGTACTATAAAGCCTATTTAATAATTATTAATAATTATTTAAATCAACTATTATATCATGATATACTATTATAATTACGCTTTAATAAAACACACCATCTTGTATCTTTAAGATCTACCTCTTTTATTCCTCTTTGTGTGTTAAAATGGAATTTGTATTAAACATGAGGATGACTTCAAACATTTTTTTCTCAGTAACCTCAGAGTTAGGATATAGGAACTTAAACCTTAGTCTTTACAGACATTCTGTTTTAAAATATATTATAAAGAATAAATGGAATTGAATGTCAAGAATGAGTAAGTGAAAGCTTTTACTCATCTGGTTTACAACTTATATCAGCTAATTTTTCTAGATTTAAATTGATTAAATTTTTTGTTTGTTTCATTTCAAATAACCACACCAGAAGAGGGTTGTTTGTCATGATTATTTATGCTTTTCCTTTCTGTTTCAGCTTAAAGGAAATGTTCAAATTTAATAAATATGGCGTTATTATAAAGAACAGCCAAATCTATTCCAATAAATTAAAATTGGTCATATGTTTGCAATCTTTGTAAGGGATTATACATTAGGGTAAAATAAAAACACCCAGTTGAATTAAAAATAAACAAAATAACAGAATAAAGTTAAATGTATAAAAATTCAACAATGTTTAAAATTCAAACTATAGAAGCATAAAAATGTGGAGCCCCTCCATTTCCTTTCTATTTTCACATAAATAATAAAAATCCGTAAGGAGCAGAAATGAATGCCACATAACATGGTAAGTTTAAATACCCAGACTCCTGAATGAGAAAAGGAAAACTGTACCCATGGTGCTCCTAAATGGATTATTTACTATGGTGGAGAATCATGGTAACGCCCTTCCATCTGGCTTGGTCTTTGGACTGACTCTCATAGGATTTGACACTCACTACTCTGGGTTCAAAAACATCCACTCTTTTTTATAACTTAAACTATAATCCTGAACCCTTCCCTAACACTTTCTCTCCTTCATCCCTCTTTGTCCTTTTTTTTTTTTTTTTTTGGTACCAGGGTTTTTTTTTTTTTTTGGTACCAGGGTTTGAACCTAGAGGTGCTTAACCACTGAGCCATATCCCCAACACTTTTTATTTTGAGACAGGTTCTAAGTTGTTTAGGGCCTAAGTTGCTGAGGCTGGCTTTAAACTCATGATCTTCTTGCCTCAGCCTGCTGAGTTGCTGGGATTACAGGTGTGCACCACCTCCTCCTGATCCCCCAGCATCTTTTACTTGTTATTTGTGATTATATCTACATTCTTCGCCTCCTTAGAAGGCAAGCCTTATTTCATAATTTAACTTTATAGACCTCTATTTCCTTTATCCCTGGTATCTAGCACAAAAAAATGCTTAAAATAAAAGCTAAATAAGAGTAAAGAAAAATAAACTTGGCTGGGCTCAGTGGCACATGCCTGTAATCCCAGTAGTTTGGGAGGCTGAGGCAGGAGGATCTCAAGTTCAAAGCCAGTCTTACAACTTAGTGAGGCACTTAGCAACTTAGCGAGACCCTGTCTTTAAAAAAAAAATATTAAAAAAGGGCTGGGGATATGGCTTAGTGGTTGAGCACCCTGAGATCAACCCCCAGTACTCCTTCTCCCCCACAAAAAAAACTTGTAGGAAAACCAAATATAGTTGGTTTTCTTGATTTCTGATATTATAAAGTACCCGGTATAGGGTCCAGAGTGTAGGGGAAATGCTGCTACGGACCATATTAAACATGTTGTGTTTAATTGCTCACTTTGCACAAGAACTCTTCTAGGTGTCTTGAGAGCAGTGCAAGGTCAGCCAGTGCCTACAAAACATGAGATGCAACAGCAGGCAGAAGAGACAACAGTGAAGAGTGAGGGAAGCCAGGTGCAGCGGCAGGATTGGTAAGGTGGCTTGCAGAGCCTCATGGCAATTACAAGGAATGGGGCAGCAATGATAGCCGGCAGAAATTAGAAGCTACCAGAGAGGTGGCCAGCCGCAGGCATTTTAGACGACAGAGAATAGCCAGCCATAAAGAAGACTGGGCTGCTTGCCAACCAGTAGATTTTAGCAATCTCAAGAGAGAAAGCGAAGCTTTAGCCTCGTGTCTCACACCATCCATAAATACTCATGGTATGGTATGAAAAGAAGAAAGCCTTGAAGTATAGATTTTAGAAAAAGTATTTTATTGAAAAATTATGAGCATGTATGAATATGTAACAATGAAGCTCACTGTTATGATCAAAATGTGACAATAAAAAGAAATGACCTAAAAAAAATAAAAGGGAGAATGTAACTCTTAAGCTGTTTGAAACCAACACTAATCTAGAATATTTCACTTTCCAAAAGGTACTAGATAATTGAGACTTTACTAGAGAAAGAAAGAAACAGGAACAAACAATGGCTGAAAATCTATTATGTGCTGCAAGTTTTACAAATACTGTTTCCTTGTCTCACAATAACCCATTTTACAAATATTACTATTTCAATTTCAAGATGAGTGAAATAAGGCTCACAGACATTATTTCTTGTTCTAGGCCTCAGGTCCTTCTGATACTAAAATCAATGCTTTCTCAACTGCATCATGCTGCTGAAAATGAGCAAGAGGAGTCAACACAAATATAAAGGAGAAATGATATTAAAATTCTTATTTTTATAGGTTAAAGACAATACCTTGCCTTGCTTACAGACTTGCAAATAGCACAGTTGTGCAATTCCTGTTCCTACAACTTTAAAATTGACAGATGGTATTTGGAGAGTGAGTATTTTATCTTCAAGATATAGTCTTTTTCTTTCTTTTTTCTTTCTGTTTTTTCAAGTAGACATATTTTGAGAAGCTGGAGCTTAGACTTTCTATATATTTACACAATAAATTTTATTAATTTACTAAGCTAGTCTAGCATTCAAAGTTGGGTATATAAGGAAACAAAGCCAAACCATTTTCTTTTTTGGAGAATGTTTTACTTAATTCATGTTACTATAACACTATAGAGTAAAATTCCAATATGCCACAATCCATTCTAAAAATGTCATGTAGCTCTGGGTGCAATGGCGCATGCCTGTAATCCCAGCAGCTTGGGAGGCTGAAGCAAGAGGATTGCAAGTTCAAAGCTAGCCTCAGCAATAGTGAGGTGCTAAGTGACTCAGTAACTCATTGAGACCCTGTATCTAAATAAAATACATAAAAGGGCTGGGGATGTGGCCTAGTGGGTGAGTGCTCCTGAGTTCAATCCCCACTATGAAAACAAAAACAAACAAACAAACAAACAAACAAAAAACAGAAACAAAAAACTCATATAGTAAGTAACCAGAGTGTAGTGGAGAAATCCAGAAAATGATGCTTTCCATCCATGTTCCTATTCACTTTTCACTTTTACAATGAAAATGTTCATGTTCTGCTAGGCATGCCAAACCATTCCCCCTGCCCAGAAGACACTACGAAATAGGCACTTTCATTCATTGTTGCTAGGAGCATAAATCAGCATAACTCTATTGATTGACAGAAACATGTATTAAATGTTGACAGGCTATGATCTGGTGAACAATGAAATTTAACAGAGATAGATATAAGATCTTGTACCAACGGCCAAACAGTCATAAAGCACATCGTGGAGGAAGTTATCTTAGAAGAATCAAACAGAAGATTCTGGAACTTTAGTAGAAAGTAAGCTCAGTAAGCTCAGAAACAAAGCGACTCTTTAAAATTCACTAATAGTTGGATAATGGTAGAATGAAGAAAATGATAGTGCTTGTGGCAGGCACAATTCCAAGGTGACCCCAGTGACACACAACCATATATAATCCCCATGCTTTGCAGCTTTGCACATGGGTGGACTAAGTAAGGATGGGATTCCACTTCCATGATGGAGGGCAGCAATGGAATGCAAAGAGCTGGGCGTGGAGAAGCAAAAATCCATGCTGCGAACTGCACCTGGAGAGAGATGGCCTCTAGGAGCCGAGGGCCTCAGTTCTACACCACAAAGAGCCAGATCCTGCCAACAATCAAGATGAACCTGGAGAGGTCTCCACACACTAACACAGCTTTATGGGGTCTTGAGCCGAAGAGTGAGGTAGCCATGCCCTGACTGCTGACCCACAGAGACAGAAAATAAACGTGTGTTGTTTTAAGATGCTAAATGTGTGGTAATAGTCACACAGCAATAAAAAAATGGATACAGCGCCATTTTCTGGTTGGGTCAGGTGTTTCCTGCAGCGTTAGTAAGCAACGAGCTCTCAGTGGAAAAAACTGAAAGTTACGTGTTAAGAGCCTAAAATACAGGGCTGGGGTTGTGGCTCAGCAGTAGAGCGCTCGCCTAGAACGTTCGAGGCCCTGGGTTCCATCCTTAGCACCAAATAAAAATAAATAAATGAAATAAAGGTATTGTGTCCAACTACAACTAAAAAATAATTATTAAATAAGACACTAAAATAGGAGCTAGCTGTATGGTAAAACAACCTCATGTCATGTTAGGAATGAGAAAATATCTGAAAACAGGAATTAAGTTTGCTTCCATGTGGCTACACACTACAGAACTAGGAAGACTGATAAAATTATAGAGAGTAAGAAGAGTGTTTTTAAAACAGATCTTTCCAAGTGTAAAACAGCTGCCTTAATATTCCTCGAATTCCCTCTCCCAGAAAGTTTTCAAGCTTAGCTGCATGACTCATTTGTAGGCATAGTATTAATGAGCACAGAAGTGTTTCTAGATGGCCTGATTACTAATCTTCAAAGACTCTCTCTTATGATATTGTTTTTCTCTTTAAATACTGTATGTACCTTGTATTTGCAGTTTAAGAATTTATAGTACCTGTTAATCTTGTAGGCAGTCAGTAAATATTTGTTGCACAGAAGAAAAAAATGAATAAAAGGATGAGAGTGTTAATTTGCTAAAGTTCTAGTTATATTTTAATGTTTATTTTAAAAATAAACAATTTTAAAACAAAACCTTAACGATAATGAGGGTGGCAGCAGCTGTCTCTAGAAGAAACAAACATGTTTTTTTCCAGCAAGTAAGGAGATGAAAAGAGCTCTGGACTGTGGGTTCTAGTCCCAGCACTATTGTTCTTGGTCAAAAAGAAAAAGAACAAAACAACAACAACAACAACAACAAGAGAACTGAAATGATTAATCCAGGGATTCAGGGTGAGTTGGGACCATGAAGGCAAGAAGAGGTGTAAGCCCAGGAGGGTCAAGGGAAATGGGAAATGTCAAGAATTAAGAACTTGCCAGGTGTGGCGGAGCACACCTGGAATCCCAGGGACTCTGGGGGCTGAAGTAGAATGGTAAATCCCAAGGTAAGCCTCAGCAACGTAGTGAGGCCCAAAATAAAAAATAAAAATAAAAAGAGCTGGGCAAGGACACCAGTAGTAAAGTACCCCTGAGTTTATCCCCAGTGCCCCCTCCCCGCAAAAAAGAGTTAGACCTAGAGAAATTTTGGAATTTGAGGTCCTGAAAGGAAACGAGACTGAACTACAAAGGTAAAAGAGGTGTAAATGCGTGTAGCCAGGGTTGAGGGGCTGTACAAACGGAGATCAAGAGGGGTAGCACACATGTTAAAGTGACTGAATTAGACAGCACAGGATGGAGTGCAGAGGGAAATGGCAAGCCTGTGCTTTCCATCAATTAAAAATTCAGTACAAAAAGCTATCAATTTTAAATAGTATATTTTTTGATATACAAATGTTGCTTATTTCTTGCCAGCTAAATTCACAGCTTTCTAAACATTTATTTTCTAAATGTCTTCTATTGCTTTTGCTATAACTTATGACACTTGCTGGCAATATATCAACAACAAAAAAATCCACATAAGCTTTCTTTTGCTCCCATAATTTTTTTAGTTCTCTAGTTATTAGAACAAAATATCATTAGAGAACAAAAATGTATTTGAAAATTATCCGTATTCACTAAAAATGTCATTCACTTCATTTATAAATGTAAAAGCAAGATCCCCCCTCTTTTTTTCTTCTTTAGGACATTGCAGAAGCAGTATCACTTGTTTAATTTCAAATTTTTTTGGTGCTGGGGATTGAACTCAGGGGCACTTAACCACTGAGCCACACCCCCAGCCCTGTTTTGTATTTTATGTGGAGATAGGGTCTCAATGAGTTGCTTAGCACCTTGCCATTGCTGAGGCTGGCTTTGAACTCGCAATCCTCCTGTCTCAGCCTTCCAAGAGACATGCACCACTGCACTTAGCTTCAACTAATTTTAGTTAATTCATTTCTTGTTAATGAAGTCAGCTTTAAAAAAATAGGTTTAATTCTTTAGTTAATGACAGGCTTTGTCACACTCTCAAGTAGGCCTTTCTCTTTAATCTTGCTTTCCCTTGAAATAAAATCACTTCCTATTCTTCTTAGCTCCTCTCTATCCTTCAAGAGGTTTTATTACTGCTTTAATTTCTCTCTTCAGTTTTTTCTGAATGTAACTATAAAATTGATTTTTATTCCTGAAATTTTTAAGATATCATAAAATCACATAAAATATTTCTCTATTTGCATTCTTCTTATTCCCTCCCTGCAACAATTGCATTTTGATGTAATCAACCAGGCCACATAAAGTAGTACAAGTAAAGATGTTTCAGTGCTCTTCAGTGACATCTAATTTTAATGATTTCTCCCTGCACTCAACTCAATGTGCTAAGACACTCTACTCAAGTATCTGGTAAATCAATCCATGTTTCCTGTCATTGTTACCCAAATACAAACTTTATTAATTCTTATCAGAATCCATACAGTGTGTCTTCACTGGTATTCCTTCCTATAGGCTTTCTCCCTAGCAATTATATACCATAAACAGATTTAAAACACCAAAGAAATCCATTACCCTGTATGCCACTGTAAACACATGGACACACAGGGCAGAGCCAGTTCCTTAATCTGGGACTCATGGTTCCCACAGTGTGCCTGAGCTGCTTCTGCTCCCTGTCCCCATTCTTCTGCCAGCATCCATACACCATCATCTGCCTTTCTAGTTTACAACAGGCCACAAGTCACTCTAAAAGATGTCCCTGACTCCTGTGGCCTCTGTTAATCGCTCCCATATCCCCACCACCTCTCCCAAGCATGTCTCTCCCTATGGCACTGGATTTCAGACTGGGCTTGCAACTGCTCTTTCATTATTTAATGAGCTTCTCTCTCTCAACTAGACAGTAAGGGAGCCGAGTGCAGGGACCACGGTTTTTACTTCTTTTATGCTTCTTTTGTGTCTTGCTATATCCAAGTCAACAAGTATTTAATAAAAACATATGTACTGAACTTAATAATCTTAAAAATGTTATTTTTCTATGTTTATATTGTTGACTTTATTCCTATAATAGTTTGTGTACTAAATTTCTAGTAATTATTTTCTTGACCATAATAAAGAATTCCATGAAATATAACATAAAAGATTTATAGATATCTATTCCTATACAAACTGAAAATAATATAAAGGCTTATTCTCCATCTAGACATCTTTATGCCATTTTGTAGCTTACATTGTTATATATCACTTTATATTGAGTATTCTGATAATTATCTGCCAGATATTAATTTCTTTGAAAATACAATGAGAAGCCCCTTCATACCTACTAAGAAGGCTATTATCAAAAACAGAAAATAACAAGTGTTGGCAAAGATGTGGGTAAAGAGGAATTATCAAGCATTGCTGGTGGGAATGAAAATGTCTCAGCTGCATGGAAATGGTATGATAATTTCTCAAAAACTGAAACAGAATTATCATGTGATCTATTTCCATTTACACAAAATGATAGAGACAAAAGTTGGCAACAGTCTCTTTGTGTAACATATATAGTTATATATAATAATATATAATTCACAATTCATACTGTGAATCTTACACCATATGTATTGAATAACAGATAATGTGTCTGAAAAAATGTAAAAGGAAGGTTATACAAAACCACATTGTATGTAAGTGAATATATGTGTATTTATTAATCTTCCTAGTGTACATACTATTTCCAGTTTTCAAAAAATTTTTTTTTGTCCCTTCAAATTGTGTGAGGTAGATGTTATCATCATTTACTCCCACTTACAGAAGAGTAAGCTGAAGCTAGAAAGCAGTGAACTGTGATCCAAATCTGTCTTATAGTTCCAAATCCTAGACTTTGGACTCTTGACTGTTCAAGTCCTAGCATGCTCACTTAATAGCTGTGTAACCTTGGACAGGCTGCTGAACCTCTCTATGCCTCAGTTTCTTCATCTCATATAGAAGTTTGTACAGTGCATGAAAATCTACACCACGGTATCTGAAGATACATCTTGAACAGGCAACAACTGAGCCACATGCTTATTTTCCTCAGTCAGTGGAAACATGTTGAATAATTAAACTTCTCCCAAGATGATGGAGCCTCAACAACAACGTGAATATTCTTAATGCCATTGAACTGTTCACTTAAAAATAGTTAAAATGCTGAATTTTATATTTCATATAACTTACCACAATAAAAACTGTCTAACAACTACCATAAACAAATATAAATCCAAGACGATCCTGTAATGTTTTAAATTTGTATGGCTACTTCCTATGCCTTTCCTTCCCTTGTTATTGCTTACTTATGTTCACAATCAGCAGAAGAGACTGACAAAAAATTTAGAAAGAGAACCTTTTATGTGTGCCAACAATGAGGCAAAGGATTTTTACTGTACAATCTGGTCTACCACAGAAACTTGGAAGTATTATTATCCTAATTGTACAAAAGTGGAAACGAGACTCAGAGAGGTATTGTAATTTGCCTGAGGCACACTATTAGGAAGCAGAACAATTCTAATTTTGATTTGCATCTTTGTGATCTGCAAACCCTCAAGAAAATGTCCAACAGGCCATTAGCAATGCAGACCTGGGTTTGGGAGAAAGGTATGGACTGCAGATAAAGCTCTGAAAAGCATCAGGACCTAGGGAGTCACTGAAAGCACAGGAGTTATCAGGGCCATCTAAAAAGTGCACCTGGGGAGGCGGGGTGAGGGTGGAACTGCTGTTCACAGAGTAGACAGAAGAAAATGGGTCTGGTAAAGAATCACACAAAAGAACCAAAGGAGTGGCTCTGCTGGGGCCAAGGAAGAGAGTGTCCAGGAGGGGCCACAGTATTAAAGTCCAGTGGCCTAAGCGGAGTATCATCTGTGGAGCGGGAGGGAGGAACAGTTTGCTTTTCCTTGCATGGCAGTCACCCTCTCCACGCAGCA